ATAATTTATGAGTTTTGTTCCGCCGGCTAAATTGTGAGCTTCTTAACGGAATAGTGATGTCCATACTGAAATCCATCAACGCGAATGCGGTGATTTTCCACTAGGAGCCAGCTTCGACCACCTAGTCGAACGTCGTACTTAGTGACTAGGGGTGATACACATGCATTCTGCATTGATGCTTATAAACTCTGTTTTATAGTGCCTCGTTTACTACTGAACCGCGAGGGTTCTCTTACGGGTAACTCGGTAAAAATTCCTTTTCTCACATCAGATGAGAATTCTCCATAATTCACCCTGTTCTCGCTGTCCATTAACTCGATTTCCAGTAGAATCAAGTTGATTCATTTTACTGAGGGATTACTTGTTACTACTCCAATTGATTCAAGTAGTCAGATTTAGCTAACAAAGTCCAATCGGTCTGAATGTGTATATTGAAAACAAGATTCCAATTAGTATAGTAGTTCGACTGATTGCATGAGCGTAGTTTCACCAATAGTCATACTGTACAGATCAGACCCTTTTAATGTGTAATAAACATTTATGATTGAGCCTGATTTGTCACGTACAAACGGCTGGTGGCAGCAAACTAACTCGCGTTTGAATTGAAATCTACTCCACAATTCCGTTTGTGAGATTACTTCTGGTCTTTACTGAAATCAGTGGCTTTAGATGGTGTTCAATTTTTACTATGAGTATAAGCGTTTATTGTGAATGAAGATATAAGCTTGCTGTTTTAGTTAATAAAGTCAGTAGCAAAATGCTTGCATTGTGAATTGTTCAAAAACCTCGGTAGGACTCGAACCCACTCATGGGGTCCGTTTACGGTTTTCTACTGCAGACACCCCACCATCTGGGCTACGAAGCCATTCCGGTAGCACTGATCTTCCCACGTTGGCTTTTTATTGTGCTATTTCTGAGTTTCTTTCTTCAGATTTTGTTTGACCTTTGATTGCATGTTTAATTACATCATACGAAAGAGGGGCTTTATGGTAACCTCAATTTCCGCTCAAGGAATTTCCTTTTGCGGCCAGTGCAGTGCAACTCATGATACATTGTCGCCTCGGTTAGTTGATCTTAGAATTGTGTTTGCAGTTCAGTTCAGTTCAGTTTGTACACGCATATTCGTGCGCTGGTTTTGGTTGCTGTCTTTTGGTCTGAGTAGGTCTGGTCCGCTCAGTGGCAGTAATACATAACCACTGCACCGTGTCTTAGTTAGTCTTAGCCTCGTTCGGTAGTTATATTCTGTTGCGCTGTGCAACGTTTGTAAGCACATTACATTTTGTTTCAGTTAAAAAGACTACACACTTACCAACCTTCACTCATATACATTACTTTGAGAAAAATGTGGTTCAGAGAGATGGTGAAAATAGCTTACCTTACAGGATTAAGTCAGAGTACAATGCCAGACATGATAGAGGTGAACCACCATGAAAGGTCTTTAAAGATGACATGTGTCGCAACTCACAGCGTGTGAAAGAATGGAAGCGACGATATGGTAATTCCATATGTAATCAGTTTCAGTTCGAATAACTATTAGCTATGCACTTTCGTGCACCGGTTTTGGTTGCTGTCTTTTGGCTCCCCATTTGGATGAAGC